TGCGTTTTTGAATTTTTCTACTTAATCAGAAGTTTGAAGTGAATAAAAAGGTTGTCAAAGCGATTAAATGTCGACAATGATGTATTCGAATCAGATTGTGCTTAACTCAGCAGTGTTAACAAACAGTTGGTTATGGAAGAGAGACAGAATCGAAAAAATTTTATCGGAGTGGATGACTAGGAAACAAAAGAAAAAAAACAGCAACGACATTTGCGCACCATTCTTACTTCATTTTTATGTGTTTTATTTATAAATCAACATTCGAAGAGACGTTTTTAGCACGAAGTTGCATCACTTGTTCTGTTTTCTGTATGAATAAGAAATCACGAGCTTTTCGAAATGGCACGAAATTACTGAGACTAACAAAAATCTTATTCATTCGGTCAACTGGAAATTCAGATTTCAAGTAATTTTTTTATGTGTATATTCTGCTTAAATAAGCTATCATATTTGATGTGGTGAATAGCTCGCTGCAATACATATCAAGTCTTTTGAAAACATGATTTGCATAGAGCATTATCTCTGGTTTTTGCAGGCACGTGGTAAAATAGATAAAAAATCGTCGTTTTCTTTCAGATTTATGTTTTAAATGTCATACAATACAATTGATGATGTTTAGTATTATTGATAAAACATAGAATGAGTAAACATCGTATATCAACGATAGAAACACTTCCAAACGAGTTAATCTTAAATATATGTGAATATTTAACCGCTCGAGAGCTCTATCGTGCATTTTATGGTCTCAACTATCGATTTCGATCACTTATTGATAAAGTATCTGGTTTGTATCTTACGATTACAAGCATTGAAAGACATGAACCAGTCTGGCTGGCTTTCTCTCGTATCGTTAAACTTACTCTAGAAAATGTTAAACAGATCGATCTTAATCCCTTTTTGAATATTCGGTCATTAACATGGATCCTTCCATCTGACATCCAACTGCAACGACTTTGTTCTTTTACTTATTTTCCCTTCTTGGAACAGTTGCGTGTGTTTGGTATGCGTAATACACATTTGACTTCGCTATTTCATCAGTTCATTTTTTCGAATGGATTTACATATTTGCGTGTATGTCATTTAAGTCATGTGGATATCAGTTTAACATGGACAATCGCGCCTTCTTTGAGAGCCATAAACATAGGCAATATGGATAACCCTGGTGCCTTTGAATATATCCTTAGATCATGTCCTAATTTGACTCGCTTGGATTTAAAATTGCTCCGTCCTTTAGCTATTCCGGCATCATCTTCATTTCAACATACGAATTTAAAAAGATTTTATCTAGATGAGTGTTTATCGTCTCAGTTTGTTGAAAACATGCTGGCAATGATACCAGCTCTGGTTCGATTTCAAATCAAAGGAAACATTAGAAAATGGTCATCGATTTATTTTGAGCATCTCTCGAATACTTTTCATCGTTTTCTTGCCAACCTTAAGCAGTTCGATTGCAATCTACTAGTACTTAATGAACGCTACGAGGATATGATTCGAATGAAACCAACTTTAGAACAGTTGCATCCATGTTTCAAACAAGCTCTCAACTACACAAAGTTAAATTTTGGTCGTGTACGCATACACACTAAATCAACTTGATCGTATACTGGATTTACTGCCGTAAACAATTTTCAGTAGGCGCGCTTTGCTTAAATGCAATTTTTAAAAACATTAATTTTATTCAACTGTTTTTTTCTTTAGCGCCCATCTTAACTCCCCGCCCCCGCCCCCTGCTCTATTTACCTGCATAAATGAGTGATACAGCACAATCATATATCAGGCACTTGTTGAATTTTTTAATTTAAAATTTGGAAACTGTATGGCAAAAAAACGTTTTGAATGTCATTATTTTTATATGATATCAAATTCTAACATGGAATGGATTTTGATATTCGATTACTGAATTGTTTCTTAGGATTAACTAACAAAAAAAATTCGTGTAAAGTAATCATTACTTGATATATCGGAGACACAAACTGGTTTATAAAATCACGTTGAAATGATGTATCAATTTGTTGTAATCGTAGATCATGAATGTGATTCATAACCACCTGCTGTAAACCAATAAATTGATCAGAATAATTATTATTTAAATCTAATAGTTTATTCAGATTTTCTTCATTTCTATGCATTTTGAGGAGGAGTTCTTCAATTTTTTTTACCAGCATCGTTGGCTATGTTATTAACTGGACGATGATGATGTTTAGTAAAATTTTTAACATTTAAAACAGGATAATCATCATTATTAAACCAATAATTTGTTTGATTTTGTTGCGGAAGATTATTAACACCAGCTGTAGTAAAAATAGATTTCATAAGTGCAGATCTATAAGTTTTAATAATAGGGCATCTCATATCATTTACATCATGTTCACTTTTACATCTTAAACAACTTATTTTTTTATCACAATTTAATTTATGTTCGTTGAGATCATTAACACCAGCACCACAAAATTTACAAAAATCTAAAGGATTTTT